CCCGACCTCTTCGGCCCCCACGGAGGGATGGATGCTCAACGTCACACAGAATCTTCCCGTAAAGCATCCTGAAGATGCGTCCTGGAACCCCCAAGTTTCCTCGGAGGTGTGGGGCCGTGTGCAAGCCAAGGGCAGAGGCCTCCCCAGAACCCGTCTAGGCTGGTGCCTGGATCTCGGGCGTCCAGCCTCCGGAACCGTGAGAAATGGATGTCTGTTGCTGAAGCCGCCCCGTCTCTGGGATTCGGTGCTAGCAGCCTCAGCTAAGCCAGACATTATACTGATGGCCTCAGGCCGTTGCGACAGGCACCGCTCCCACTGTGATTGCAGTGAGGTCCTGTGATCCCGGAGTCACCGTGACCCGCCCTCACTGTGGGCACCGCACATCACAGAGTCCCTAGGACATTCCCTGGTCCCTGCTGCAAGGCCGGGAAGTGGTGAGGCTGGTGTCACGTTCACATCTTACAGAAGGGACTCAGAGGTTCCAGGAGGGGCAAGCGTAGAGCTGGGGTTTGCACGGGCCCAGGGCGGTTAACAGGGGGGCTGTAGTGTCTCCTGATGTCTTGGCATTCTTGTTGTGAACTGCGAGCCTCATTATACTGATGGCCTCAGGCTGTCATCTGATGTCTTGCTGTTCTGGTGAACCTGAGCCTCACTACCGTTACACCGATGGCCGCAGGCTGTCATCTGATGTCTTGCTGTTCTGGTGAACCTGAGCCTCACTACCGTTATACTGATGGCCGCAGGCTGTCGCCTGATGTCTTGCTGTCCTGGTGAACTGTCAGCCTGACTACCATTATACTGATGCCCTCACACCGTCGCCTGGTATCTTGGCCTTCTTATGGACCAGGAGCCTCACTACCATTACACTGATGGTCTCAGGGCATCACCTGCTGTGTTGGCCTTCTTATGGACTGGGAGCCCCATTACTATTATAGTGATGGCCTCAGGCCGTCGCCTGAGGTCTTGCTGTTCCTCTGAACTGTCAGCCTCACTACCATTATAGTGATGCCCTCACGTTGTCACCTGGTGTCTTGGCCTTCTTATGGACCAGGAGCCTCACTACCATTATACTGATGGCCTCAGGCTGTCATCTGATGTCTTGCTGTT